GAGCATCCCTGAGACTGCAGATAAGGATCTGGGCAGGAACAGGACCAGGAGCATCCCCCAGCCCTTGGATAAGGATCTGGGCTGGAGTAAGAACAGGAGCATGCCCCAGTCCCTGGATAAGGATCTGGGCTGGAGCAAGACCAGGATCATCCCTCAGACTCCAGATAAAGATCCAGGCTGGAGCAGGACCATGGGCATCCCCCAGCCCCTGGATAAGGATCTGGGCTGGAGCAGGACCAGGAGCATCCCTCAGCCTCTGGAGAAAGATCTGGGCTGGAGCAGGACAAGGAGCATCCCCCAGACTCCAGATAAAGATCCAGGCTGGAGCAGGACCATGGGCAACCCTCAGCCTCTGGATAAGGATCTGGGTTGGAGCAGGACCAGGATCATCCCTCAGCCTCTGGAGAAAGATCTGGACTGGAGGAGAACCAGCAGCATTCCCCAGCCCTTGGATAGGGATCTGGGCTGGAGCAGGACCACAGGCATCCCCCAGACTCCAGATAAAGATCTGGGCTGGAGCAGGGCCAGGAGCATCCCCCATCCCTGGAAAAGGATCTGAGCTGGAGCAGGACCATGGGCATCCCTCAGCCTCTGGATAAGAATCTGAGCTGGAGCAGGACTGGGCCTGTCTCCGGTGTCCCCGGTGGGGGTGGTGGTGGCACTCACGGCCTCATCCTGCTCGGGTGCTTGGGTGCCCACGATCTCCTCCACGTAGTTGGCCGGGAACCAGAGCTGCTTCTTGCCCCCGTAGTCCCCGCGCCACCTGCAAGGGGTCAGAGGGTCAAGGCGGGCGGACGGATTTCGGGGAAGGGGCCGGGGGCGTCCGAGCTGTGGGCGGGGCCGGGCGGAGGAGGGATTTGGGGGGGGGACAGAGAAGGAGGAGGCGGTTAAAACCCACTGGGGGACGATCCGGGGGATCCCCCGGGGCGTCCCCTCCGCCTCCCGGCCCGCGGTGACACCCGTGGGTGCGCGTGACGCCCTCACCAGCCGCCGTCCTGCTTGTCCACGTTGTGGATGATGGCCTGCTTGCAGAACGACAGCTCGTCCTCCCGCTGCGCCTTGTAGTCGTAGAGGGCCTTCACCGTGCACTGGGACACAGTGAGAAGGACACAGGTCACTGCCTGTCACCACCTGTCACCACCCCCAGAGCCTCCAGGCCCGGCCTCGGCGCTCCCGAGGGTCCCACCCCCCCGATTTGTGGGATCTTACAGGGTTGGGATGGCCCCCGTTCCAAGCCCACCCTGCCATGGGTAGGGATGCCTCCCGCTAGAGCAGGTTCTTCAAGGAGAAGGGGCTGGGTGGGTGTGGGGCCAGGAGCATCCCACTGTCCTGCTCCAGCACAGATCCGTATCCAGAGGCAGTGGGAAGCTCCTGGATTGGGGCTGGAGCAGCACCGTGAGCATTCCATAGCCTCTGGATAAGGGTCCGGGTTGGAGCAGGGCCAGGAGCACCTCCCAGACTTGGGATAAGAGTCTGGGTTGGAGCAGGGTCAGGAGTGTTTTCCAGACTCTGGATAAAGGTCTGGGCTGGAGCAGGGCCAGGAGCATTTTCCAGACTCTGGAGAAGGGCCTGGGTTGGAGCAGGGCCAGGAGCGTTTCCCAGCCTCTGGATAAGGGTCTGGGTTGGAGCAGGGCCAGGAGCATTTTCCAGACTCTGGATAAAGGTCTGGGCTGAAGAAGGGTCAGGAGCATTTCTGAGACTCTGGATAAAGGTCTGGGCTGGAGCAGGGCCTGGAGCATTTTCCAGCCTCTGGATTAGGGTCTGGGCTGGAACAGGGCCAGGAGCATCCCACAGCCTCTGGATAAGGGTCTGGTTTGGAGCAGGACCAGGAGCATCCCACAGCCTCTGGATAAGGGTCTGGGCTGGCACTGGGCTGGCAGCATCCTACAGCTTTGGGATAAGGATCTGGGCTGCAACAAGACCATGAGCATCCCACAGCCTCTGGAATAAGTGTCTGGGTTGGAGCAGGACTGGGAGCATCCTCCAGCTTCCAGAAAAGGGTCCAAGCTGGAGTGGGGCCAGGAGCATCTCCCATTCTCTGGATAAAGATCTGGGCTGGAGCAGGACCCTGGTTTTGAACATCCAACCTGACTTGGAACACTTCCAGAGCTGGGACATCCACAGCCTCCCTGGACAATCTGTTCCAGTGTCTCACCACCCTCACAGGGAAGAATTTCTTCCCAATATCTCACCCAAATTTCCCCGCTTTCAATTTGTATCCCTCATTCCTTGTCCTATCACTACAGTTCCTGACAAAGCCTCAAGTCCTAAAAACCTCCAGGACTAGAGACTGGGTCAACTCCAAGGTCAGGCCAGTCCCAAAAACCTCCAAGGATGGAGATTGTGGCAGCTCCAGGAC